AGTAATTATTTCTGATTTCATTTTTCCCAGATCCTCTTTTGTTGGCAGTTCAGAGAGTCCAGGTGGTTGAGTTTCAGATTTTTCCATCTCGTTTCCCTTTGGGGTTGCTGTAGGTGATCCAGAAGTCTTTTTGAGACTTGTTTAGATGTCTTCTCATTTCCATGGGAGGGGGTGCTTGTGGCGCCCACACGGCTCACCTTCTCTGCCCTAGGAGCCTGGGATGGAGGCGGGGAGCTTCCTTCCGGGTTCTGGGACTGGGTGCTGGGACCGGCTGAGCTTCTCTGCCCTAGGAGCCTCAGCCTCCAGGGAGCACCAGTGGTGCCTGCGCCTTCTCCCACCCCACACCTGGCCCCACGCTGCAGTGGAGACAGCGGCTGAGGTGGTCCAACCATCATGTGCTGCAGAACCAAGAAGCCTCTTTCTTTCTAACCTTAATTGAATTGAAATGAAAAGTCTGTCTTGCTGATCTGATGATGAAATGTGAAAGTGAAATGAAAGGAATGAATGAAGAACATATTTTTTTTTTCATTTTGAGAAATTATCAGGGAAATAAAGAAACATTTGGGAGAGTATTTAGGTGTTACATGTAATTACTTATAGATTCTATAGTCTGGTGAAGCTGTGGGTGATGTGAACAGAAGCTTGAGAAATGGGTGAAATGAGATGGGGGATTTGTAGGTCATATGAAATTAAAGATGATTTTTGTAATGTGACTAAAGTTATGTTCTGATAGTTTGTGCAGAATAAAATAAAATGGATGCCCTTCATGTTTTGTTGCTATTGTTAAATGTTAAGATTATATGCTATTATGTCGTGTAAATTTCTTTCGTTGGTGTAAATATGGAAATGCCACATTGGTTAAGTGCCATCATTTGTAATGCAGTGTGTCATTTGAAAAGAGATTTGAAGAAATGGATGGCTTAAAATGGGAAACCCATTTTTAAATTGTTAACAAAAACAACTATGGCATCTTTTGTTTCACAATGAATAGTGTACTTTGGAAGCACAAAGTCC